GAAAAGTCTTTAAGTATTGGGAAGCTGTTAAGTTCATGATGATGGATACAAAATTCTAATATCCAAATTCCCAAAATTCTGATCTTTGCCTGAAAGCTTGAATTTTGTCATTGGCCACAAATAAAAAGTTGGTTTTCCTTGAAGTGACAGGCTCATTTTGTTCATTTTTTGAGAAAATGACTGGCAGTTTCCAAGTCTGAATAACCCGCTTGTCAGTCATTCTTTCAAGTAAAAATGATGTTCCGTGAGAAAAATTGGCTTCCTTTTCCTTTGATTTTAACTACTCTTCTCCAGGAAAATCTAGACTATCACAGCATAATGTTTCTCAGGCCAAGACAGAAAAGTTTGGGGCCTGGTCAAGAGAGGGAGCAGAGATAATGATTGTAATGACTGCACACGCCACCCCCCTGGGCTGGGAGTGGCCACAGTGTAGGGTTCACCTGGCTCCTTGACTGCCCTGGGGATGTGCGTGCTAAAACGTGGATCCCTTGTATGAGTAACCCCACACTCTCAGAGGTGCTGGTTTTGCCTGGAGTGAAGCAGAATTTAATGTTGGAGATTTTTTGAGCAGATCCCAAATGTAGAAAACCCCTAGAATTTTCCCTTGCTCCCCCCCCCCATTTTTTACCTAGAACTAGAAGTTTATCTGGAGAGGCTCTGAAATTTAAACTGCATGAGAAGGAGTAATTTCCGCCCAGGGCTGTTGGGTTTAAGGATCAGTTCCCTGGGCTCTGTGATGAGGAAAAATGGTTGGGCGTTTCATTCATTTGATAACTATTTATTGTTCATGCTCTTGTGTGGGAATACTGTGCCTGATGTTAAAAATGCAGCTTGAGAACAGCTAGTTGAAAGCCTGAGTTGACTTTGAGGCATAAGGGATCATGATTGTCAGGAATTTGAAAAATGGCAGGAGATTGCATTCAAAGGGAATTCTGAACCAAGAGCTTTTCTCTGCCAAAGGAAAAATTTGCAGAAACACTGGTAGTACGGGCTGCATATAACATCTCCAGTTTCAGGATTCTCACCATTCTGTGGCAGAAGAAAAGAAAATGTCAGAGAAAAAAGTCCCCAGGCCCCACCAGACATTGTATTCGGGGGCAGGCACCAAGGCTTAGGGCTAAAACAGCTTTGGGGGTAGCCCCAAGAATTGCCTGGCCCAGAAGGAAAAACTCAGGTATATCAAACTTAGGACCATGAGTAACTAGATTCCATTGTAGCTTTTTATTAAGAACAGAATGGCCGGAGGGCCAAAGTAATAGATTGAGTGTCTATTGCATGGAATCCCTGGGCTAACCTTTGCATCTCTAATGTCACTTAATTCTCTGGGCAACCTTATGCAGTGTGAGGTGGTACCATCCCTGCTTCAGTTAGGACCTAATTAGCTTGCCAGGCCCGGTGTTCTTTTTTCTTTTAACTGGAAAGACAGCTTGTCCTGTAAATTTATTTCCATTGATGGCTAACCTCATTTATTATGTGGACCAGTTTGGCTCTAGGAAGAGCCACATTATTTCCATGAATGAGGCCATCTCGTTGTAATCCCCAGGGAATGTGATCTTCCACTCTTCCATGCTTGAGATTGGAACCATTCAAGTGAAGGTCGAGGATAGGGAGATGGCCTTTCTCTCTCTGAGAAGCAAAAATTTCAAAATTTCAAGCAGTGTCTTGCTAAGGTATATTGCCATGGTGATACTTAACAAATCTGATTTAGCCATTATGTGCCTAGCTGAGCCCAGGCCCTGTGCTACAGTGAGAGATCCAGACAAGAATCAGACCTGATACTTGCCCTCTTGGAGCGCAACGTAAATAGAAGGGACAGGAAATGCAGGTAAAGAAATGAAGTAGAAGGCACAGATTCTGTAAGCAAGGCATAATGTGCTATGCAGATATGGGGAGGGGAGAGGAATTACAAGAGGGACTCTCTGGGAAGGCTTCGATGGGGTTGGGTTTAAGCCCTGCCTAGCTACTTACTGGTAAAGTTGGGAAGGAAGGGAGTTTGAAGCAGAGGATCCCCTTCAGCAAAGGCATGAGGTAGGGGTAGGAGAATATAGAGAATATTTGGGGAACTTAAAGAATGACTGTGGGGTAGAGGACGGAGATTAAGATGTCTAAGTCACCTTAAATTCATTCCACATGAAAGATGCTTGCATTCTTATAAAATACTGTGACTGTATTTTCTATATTTTTCAAGCCTGGTCCTGAATTTAAGTGTTTCCCATCACTCCCATCATATTCTTAATAAGTATCCAATGTTGAGGCAGTGTATTAATGGGCCTAGTACTGGACTAGGTGCTTTGTCCATTCAGTGTTCACAGCCAACCAATCAAGTTAGGACTTAATCCCATTTTACAGATGAAGAGACAGAGACTAGAACTTGCCCAACATCCTACAGCTGGTAAGTGGTGGAGACCCAAGATAAGTGCCAGAGCCAGTTTTAATTCCCCTGCGTCCAGTGCCTCCCACAAGTACTTTGGCACTAGGTACAGTCACACTGATCACACATTTAACTTGTAAGAATTCTGTATATGCTTTTAAAAGAGGAAAAAAAACCCCACTTATTGAACATTGCCATATGTGTTTTACAGTTGTTATCTTGTTTGTGCCCAGACTATATATACTCTACATCACAGGCTATACAAAGAATTTCAGAATAATTTTACTCAGACAAGATTTTCCTCCTATGAGTAACTTTAGAACCTAATACCCAAATGAAATGAAACTCTATTGTAGTAAAACTACACATCCTGGTGTTTTCCTTAAGACTGTGGTCACCATTAGCACAGGGAAAGGGACTTGGGTGTTGGCCTCACCTCCTCCCTCTGGAGTTGCTATGGCATCTTACAACTATGAAAAGTTTCCTGGGAACACTTCTCAAAAACGCCCCCTTTGCCTGACTTCTCCAAGTCCTTCTCCATCAATCTCCCACCCTTCCATGAGATACCACCAGTGGGTTAGAAGCTATATCCTTTTACAGCTGCAGTTCAACAGCTGTCTTGTCCACTGAAATGTTCCCTTGACAGAAACCTTTTAGGCAGTGTCTCACATAGGTTCCACGCTTAAGATTTCTCTCTCTCTGTTACTCTTTTTTTCAACATCCGTGTTCTCCCCCAGATGTTTCATTATGCTCCTGGTACTACTATTTGGTTCCTTTCTTTTTCTAGAATCCAGAGACCGAGGTCAGTGTAATTGTAACATTACAGATTTAAGGATACCCTGATGCCAATTTATTGTGAGAAGGTGATTTTATTTGAGAAAGATGATGGCATTTATTTTCTTGGTAGGATGAGGATGATTCCCTTATTCCTTTGCTTAGGCCTCTGCAAACACCTGTTACCTAGTAGTGGGTAAGTTTGGAAGGTATATCAGTTAATATAACTATTGCATGTAACAAACCACCCCAAAACTTAATGGCTTAAAACAGCACCATTTATTATTTCTCATGAGTCTCTGGGTTGACTGGGTGTTTCTGTCGATCAGGGCCAGCTTGGCTGATCTCAGCTGGGCTCACTCCTGTGCCTGATCCGCTGGCCAATCAGCAAGGAAGACTCAGATTTCTCCACACATCTCTCACATCACTCCAGCAGCTAGCCCGGTCATGTCTCATGGCAGGCAGGGGTGCAAGAGTGATCAAGCCCAGCCATGCAAAGAACCAAGTAGAAATGCATACATACTTTTCAAGCTTAAGCTGGGAGCAAATTTGCTAACATCCCATTGGCCAAAGAAAGTGACGTGACCAGCCCCAGTGTCAGAGAAAGAGGGTTCTGCAAAGTTGCAGAATAGTCCTGGAAGCAGTGGTGTTGGTGGTATAGAGGCGAGCATAGGAGCTTTCCGAAGCTGCAGAATATAGGAAAGCCACTAATTGGGGTCATTAAATGTAATCAGTCTCCCAATCAGTACCCCTCAATATGACATAAAAACCTATAGACTTATATTTCTATGCCATTTGTCCTAGAAGGAAGAAAAGTCCAAATAATAATTACTGTGTATTGGGTCTATGCTTTGAGCATGCACGGGGCTAGGCACTTTCCCCTTTTATGCATTGAGTCTCACATCAACTCTGCAAGGTAGGTAGGAAGTTGGAGTTCAGAAAGTTAAATAACTTGCTCAAGATCACCCAGCTAATGTGTGCTCGGTCAGGCATTAGAATGCAGGTCAGTCTGACCCCCAAAGCCCAAGTTCTTTTCACCATGCCTCACTGCCTCTCAGAAGCACCAGGGTCGGGACGCCTGGGTGGCTCAGTTGGTTGGACGACTGCCTCCGGCTCAGGTCATGATCTCGGAGTCCCGGGATCGAGTCCTGCATCGGGCTCCCAGCTCCATGGGGAGTCTGCTTCTCCCTCTGACCTTCTCCTCGCTCATGCTCTCTCTCACTGTCTCTCTCTCGAATAAATAAAAAAAAAAAAAAAAAAAAGAAGCACCAGGGTCTGCTTTACCTTTTCTCCGACTCAGTTTTATGTTGAATTAATGCTTTCTCATTAGCTCTGCAAACCCCTCCTCCAAAATACTGCTGTGCTCCTAATGGAATTGTGCAGCTTTCAGGAAAGCCACACGTTCTCTCAAACTCAACATTAACTGAAAGGATCTTCCCAGCCCCCAGGTGGGGATTGGTCTGTGGACTGCAAAGACAGCCCAAGATTTGTGGCCTCTCCCAGACATGCCAGAGAAGGAAGGGGACTTTCCTTTAACCTTCAAGATTTGGAGATACCAGGGCATTTGAACATGAGCTTTGAAGTCAATTGGAGTTCAACTCCTAATTCAGCCACTCACTAGCTCTATATCGTTGGGCAAGTTACTTAACTTCTCAAAATCTGTTCTTTCGTCTTTAAAGAAAAGAAAAAGGAGTAACACCTAGTTTGCAGAGCTATTACAAGGACTAAAATTATGTATAGAAAGTGCCTAACCCAGTGCCTGGCACATAATAAGTGAAGTTATTAGTATGGTTAATATTATTTCTAAGCAGAGCCTTTCCCCTCCTGGGAAACCCTGTTTCTGTCTGTTGGACAGGTTCCCCCCACCTCCACCCAGTCTGTGCAGACTTGCTGCCTGCTATGTCATCGGGAACGCAAAGGCTGGGAAGAAGGCCCTTCCCAAAACGGACTGGTGTTGCAGGGTGAGAAGCTGCCCCCTGACTTCATGCCAAAGCTTGTCAAGAATCTCCTAGGCGAGATGCCTCTGTGGGTCTGCCAGAGTTGCCGAAAGAGCATGGAGGAAGATGAAAGGCAGACAGGTCGAGAGCATGCAGTGGCGGTAGGTAACGGTTGAGAAGGGGGTCTCTGAATGCAGGAGGGCACCCTGCCCAGAGAGATCAGGCTGTTGAGCTATTCCTTCTCTGCCCTCTCAGGTGGCTCTCCTCCAGCAGCCCCTGCACCCAGGCCCTGAGGGGCTGCTGGGCCGTTTCCAGACAGCAGTAGCAGCTTGGGTTCACAGTCGGGGCAAGAACGGAGAGGCTGCAGGCAGCCCCCTTGGCCCTGAGGGAGCTTTTGTGGTGTGAGGGCCTGCTTGTAGGTACTGTCAATGGAGATTCTGCCCCTTCTGTGTCACCATGCTGCCTTCAGCCCTCTGACAGCTTGAAAGCCCACCAGTATGACAAGGATGGCAAAGGTTGGTTTGAGGGTCCACTGTGTGCCTCAGTTAGAAAGCCTCCGAGATGCCCAGGAGCCATCTAAGTGGCATCTCCTGAATCACAGCAGTCAGAATTTCCTTGTTTCTCCTTCCCCTGCAGTCCCTCTCTTACCCCAGGATCGTGTCAGCTTACGACTTTGGACTTAAAGACCCTTCCTCTCCTTGGCAGCTCTCAGGACTCCCTAAAGGCCCACAGTTGACAGGCAGTCTGTATCTCTACCGTAGTCTGTCTCAGCACTATCCACACACTTCACTTTACTGGGAGCATCACTGCTCCTCCCCCGGCAAAGGCCTTTCCCTTGCACCTGGTGTTGTGGGAATTGTACTTTGGCCATGGCACAGGGCTTGGAGGAGGACGTGCTCCTGAGTAAGTTAAGGCAGCAGAGGGTTGGCTCTGATGTTTGCCGTTTTATCATGAGCCTTTTTCTTCCCCCTTCTCCAGATCTCCTTGTCACACACATCCTGCAAATCACAGTCTTGTGGGGGTGACTCTCATTCCTCTTCGTCCTCCTCTTCATCGTCCTCGTCCTCCTCCTCCTGCCATGGGAACTCAGGGGACTGGGATCCCAGCTCCTTCCTGTCAGCACATAAGCTCTCGGGCCTCTGGAACTCTCCGCACTCCAGTGGGGCCATGCCGGGTAGCTCACTCGGGAGTCCTTCTACCATCCCTGGTGAGTCTCTGAGCTCGGGAGAGAGCCAGGCCACATAAATGTAGAGAGCTATGTTTTTCTAACCACTTTGTTAGACAAACCAGGTCAGTTATTAAAATAAGTAAAAAAGGATCTGTTCTGCTGGAAGCAGGGGGTACCTAGCCCTTGGCTGTCTCCATGACACTCCTTTCCCCAGAACTCTGAAGTTGAAAAATATTGTCATTGGCTCTGACAGCTTTCCCTTCAGATTCAGGAGAGGACGTGGTAAACACTAGCTGAACAGAAAGTGGAGTCTGGGAGTGTCCTTTAGGGAGTTTGGACGTCAGCCACCTAACACCTGTCCCCTGCAGCAGCACAGAGGACCCAGGTGCTTTGTCTTCCTAGACCTCCTTTTCTCCACCTAAGGGACACGTGTAAAAGCACGAGAAGTTGCTGGTGCAGACTGCCAGAATTACTAGCCAAGGTCACGTTTATATAAGCTTTCTTTACACTCTGAGTTAACCTTTAGATACCCAAAGAAAAATTCTTGGGTTATTGAGGTACTATGTAAATATTCATTAGTGTCTATTTCTAAATTGAGGGCTTGAGATGAGTGTAACACTCCATGTTAACTATATTGGAATTAAAATACAGAAGAAGAAGAATAACAAAATGGAGGGCCTGAGTTCTCCAAAGGGGTGCTACTCCCAGAATTGTGGGAGTTGAGTAGAATTCCATTTATTTTGATCCATAAGCCAGAGAAGACTCAGCAAAGCCTTTTCGTACTTCTCTGATACTGGGCCACCCCGGAGTCTGGCACACCCTGGCTGCCTCAGTCCTCATGGCCCAGAGGCAGAGCTCCACTGGCTTTTGTAGACCCTTTTCTGGGCCCAAGGAATGCTTACAAGCAAACAAGTCCTAGAGAGACCCCAAGAGACAGGACACATATCCCCTACTTGTTTCACAGCAGAGGTGTTGTGGCCTTCCATGGGGCGGGCATTCCTGGGTCCTTCTCTCAGATCTGGGCTCCTCAAGCCTGTCCAACCAAGTTGCTCCCTGCAGGGAACACTCTCCAGCCCAAGATACTGCTAGACTTTCCAAAAGTTCACATGGTCCACTGTGCTGAGAGGCTGTCCCCAGACAGGTACCCTCTGGTCATGGTAAGCAGGATGTTGTGACAGGGAGCCCTTGGGCTTTCCTTTCCAGGGTCTTGGCTCTCTCTCTGACCTCCTTCTTCCCCATCCATCCACAGGTGAGGTTTTCTCTATCTCGGAGCACCACCGGCACTCAGACCTCACTGCTCCACCTAACAGCCCCACCGGCCACCACCCCCAGCCAGCATCGCTGATCCCATCTCACCCCGGATCCTTCGGCTCACCACCCCACCCACACCTGCTGCCTGCTACCCCGGCAGCACCTTTCCCTGCCCAGGCTTCAGAATGCCCTGTTGCCGCTGCTGCCGCCCCCCACACCCCAGGGGCATGTCAGACCCCCCACCTGCCCTCCACCAGCATGCCGCTCCTGAAGATGCCTCCACCATTCTCGGGGTGCAGCCACCCCTGTAGTGGGCACTGCAGCGGGCACTGCAGCGGGCCTCTCCTCCCACCTCCCAGCTCTCAGCAGCTCCCTAGCACTCACAGGTAAGTGAGTGGCACAAAGGCGCACTCCCTGCCAGTTTCAGCCTTGAGTTGAGAAACTTTACAAAGCTACCCCCCTCCCCGGCTCATGCTGTCTCTAGGATAGAGAAGTAAATCTTAGAAAATAAAGGGTAGACTCTATGTCTTTTGTATAGTTTTTACAAGCAGAAGTAGGTGTTTATTGTTTTTTTAAAAACTTGGAGGGGCGCTTGGATGGCTTAGTCATTGAGCGTCTGCCTTCGGCTCGGGTCATGATCCCAAAGTCCTGGGATCAAGCCCTGCATCAGGCTTCCTGCTCGGCAGGGAAGCCTGCTTCTCCCTCTCCCACTCCCCCTGCTTGTGTTCCCTCTCTCGCTGTGTCTCTCTCTGTCAAATAATAAATAAAATCTTTTAAAAAATAAAAACTTGGAAAAATTCAGAGATGTCTAATGAAAAAATTTCCTCACAACCTAACAATAAACTTTTTTTTTAAGATTTTTGTTTATTTATTTTATTTACTTATTTATTAAGTAGGCAGAGAGGCAGGCAGAGAGAGAGAGGAGGAAGCAGGCTCCCTGCCGAGCAGAGAGCCCAATGTAGGACTCGATCCCAGGACCTTGAGATCATGACCTGAGCCGAAGGCAGAGGCTTAACCCACTGAGCCACCCAGGCGCCCCAAACTTTTTTTAAGGTTTATTTATTTATTTTGAGAGAGAGAGAGAGAGAGAGAGCACATGTGCACGAGCAGGGTGAGGGGCAGAGGGAGAGAAAGAGAATCCATAGGCAAACTCCCCGGTGAGCTCAGAGCCCAATACAGGGCTCAATTTCATAACCCTGAGCTCATGACCTGAGCTGAAATCAAGAGTTGGACACCTAACTGACTGAACGCCACCCATGTGCCGCTAATGATCAACTTTTTTTTTCTTTTTTTAAGAGTTTATTTATTTATTTGACAGAAGAGAGAGATCACAAGCAGGCAGAGGCAGGCAGAGAGTGAGAGGGAAGCAGGCTCCCTGCTGAGCAGAGAGCCTGATGCGGGTGTCGATCCCAGGACCCTGAGATCATGACCCAAACCGAAGGCAGAAGCCCCAACCCACTGGGCCACCCAGGTGCCCCAATTTCTAATACTGCAATATATTTTTCTTCTGATGTCTTTGTACCATGTTTATACATTGTTGTGTAGTTCTTTTTTAACATTATAGATCATTTCCGCAGTTAAGATTCTTCAAAAAAACTTTCAAGTGACCACAAATTGTCTTACTGTATACCTCTAGCATAATTTTTCATTCACCTATTTCTGGACATTGGGGCATTCTGGTTTTTGTATTTAAGATTTTATTTATTCATTTGACAGAGAGCGTGAGCACAAGGACGCAGAGTGGCAGGCAGAAGGAGAAGGAGGCTCCCCACTGAGCAAGGGTGCCCCGACACGACACAGGGCTCAATCCCAGGACCCTGGGGATCATGACCTGAGCCAAAGGCAGACGCTTAACCACTGAGCCACCCAGGCACCCCCGGGCATTTCTAGTTTTTAGCCACTAAAAACAAGGCTGTAATAAACATCCTTGCACCCAAATCTGTATTTGAGTTCAGAAGTACAGGTTTAAGGATTCCCTGAAGTAACTCTGAGTACTGAGGAAGTTTATAGTAATGTAGATGTGGAAGATAAAATTCTTTGGAGAAGATAGTGTGTATTTTTGTATTATAAATCAGATCTGTGTTTAGTACGCATTTATATTTTCTTATTCTAAAATCCCACCACCCCAGTAACCACCAGTGCTGGCAGTTTTCCTTACAGGTCTTTCCCACACGGTGGTGGTGTCTATAAAGTGTGCAGCTTTTTGTTGTCCTGTTTCACTCAGCTTTCCTTATTTGGTTCCTATGTGGTCTTCTTGGCCTCAGCTAAAGTCTGGAGAATATTCTCCATAGTATACTTCACTGTTTTCCAGTTGCTGATGATTTAAGTCACCAGTATTTTAACATTGTAAATAATCTCTCTAAAGATGGCTTTGCTTAAAGCTTTTTCCTCTTTTGGGTTTTTTTCTCCTTGGAATAGGTCCCTCAGAAAGAAAGAAGTTCTCAGTTTAAAGGATGTCAAAATGTCTTTTTTGAGGATTCTTAATACACATTGAAAAATTGCTTTCCAAAGGGCTCTCCAAATTGATGTAACCACCAATCTTGGGGTGCTAGTTTCTTCGTATTTGTAGCAGCACTGGGTGCTTTGATTTTGCTAATGTGGGTGAGAAATGGTTAGTTTGGATTCAGCTTCTCTGAGTACTACTGATAATGGTTCCTGCCCCTCGTTTTCTACTTCTTGCTCAATAGACTGCCCTGAGAGCCAAGCCTCCTCACTGCTCCTCACCCTGCCATTTCTCCTAGCTCCCACCCCTTGTCTCCAGCCCCAGGGCACTCCAGCTTTTAACCTGGGGCTTTTGCTCTTCCGGCTCCAATTATGGGACTTGGTGGGCCCAAGTCTTTTCTTACCCTGAAAAAATGGGCTGTAGTACATGATGCCCCCAGTGCATCCTAAAGTCCAGAGGCAAAGCAGTACAATGGGAGAGCATGAGCTTTGCAAGGCACAGGCTGAGTCCTAGCCACTCTTTGAGCAAAACAGTTAAGCACTCGGACTCTTAAGTTACTTCCACTGCAGGATGGGGGTAGCAACATCTATTTTGGAGGACTGGGGAGACGCTTAGAAATAATAATGCTAATTAGAGTACCAGACCCAAACAGTAAAATGACTCTTAGAGTCTGGGCCACATGGGACATTTCCTTTCCTAACTATAAGGCCCCACATGAAGGCAGCTCTGCCCACTGGGGCAGACTCAATCGAAGAACCTTAGAGGATGAAATCGACCTTGTCAGCCTCCTTCGGATGCTCCAGGATAGCCATCGGCCCACTAATCTGTTTGGATACCTACTTACTGAGCACGTGCTGTGTACAGTGTTGTTATGCTGCACACTGGGACCCAAATATAGAAGTGGCATAGTTCCTGCCCTTAAAGAATGCAGTCTGCTCTGAGAGACAGGTGGGCAAACAGACCATCAGAGTAAAGTGTGATATACAGTAGCATAGAGAGGTATCCACACAGTGGGTGCAGGCACAGGGCCTGAGAGACAGTGAGGGTGTTGGCTTTGTTATTGTGAGAGACACTGATATGACCTGACTGCCTTGGCCTTTGTGGGATGGGGCAGACGAAGGGTATTCGGAACAGCAGTGGTGGGGATGCTTCCCCAGGCTCCTTCTGCGGCCTGCTCCTTCCCTGCCCTCCCTCAACTGTGGGCTTGTCTTTCTCCCCCATCAGCAGGGACCCTGGGTGCAAGGGACACAAGTTTACACACAGTGGTCTGGCCTGCCAGCTGCCCCAGCCCTGCGAAGCAGATGAGGGCCTGGGTGAGGAAGAGGACAGCAGCTCAGAGCGCAGCTCCTGCACCTCATCCTCCACTCACCAGAGAGATGGAAAGTTCTGTGACTGCTGCTACTGTGAGTTCTTCGGCCACAATGCGGTGAGTGAGCCTGCCCAGGCCAGAGAGGGCTGGGGGCCAGTCAAGGTGAGCCGAAGGAGCTGCTCTCCCCAGAGACACCCCTCCATCCCCCCCCACCCCCGCTCACAGGGATAATAACCACACTGGGACCCTCTGAGTCCTCGCAGCCTGTGTCCGCTCACTTGATCCTTACAGCACATTGGTGAGGTAGGGATTTTTAAACACCTTGCTACCTTTGCTTTTTTCATGGTTTCTCTTAAGATTGACTTTTTTTCCTTAGGCAAAAGGAAAGGAAGTGGCAGAGAGAAAGCTATGATTCTGATGAGCATGCATACGTGTGTAATCACAGAGAAGCGAACGCTTGTGCGTGATGAAGGCAGAATGGAAGCAAAGGCTCTCCGTCCCCCAAGCGTGAGAGCCAGCGAGGGACAGGCCGTGAGCCCAGATGGCACCAGGCAGGAGGCTCAGGGCAGAGTACATGCTGTTTCTGGACAGAGGGCGAAAGCAGCTCAGAAGTCTCCTAAAGTGAAGAGGAAAGGGCCGCCGGGTAGGGTAGAGCAGTTGAGGACGGAAGAAATGAAAGTAATTACATTGTTAGTCACCTTTAAACTAAAAGTAATTATTCTCATTTTAGAGATGACAAAATCGAGGCACACAAAGACTCAGTGACCTGCCCAAGGTCATACAGCTTCCAAGTGACAAAGCCCGGGCTCAAACCTGCTTTCCTGGCTCCCAAGTCAGTGTGCTCACAATGCTGTTACGTACCTCCCACTCCCTCTGCCCACCGCCGCCTCAGCTGTGGGCCTGGCGGAGGCTGAAGCCACTTGGCCTTTGCGGCTATAGTAGAAAGAACAGTTGTCTCGCTTCTCGCCACATGTTCGGTGCCAGCGGGTGGGAGTGCTCCGGGCTTCCCAGGCCCAGGGTGTAACGTCAGCACCTCCCCCTCCCCCAGCCACCCGCTGCCCCGACGAGTCGGAATTATACAGAGATCCGAGAGAAGCTCCGCTCGAGGCTGACCAGGCGGAAAGAGGAGCTGCCCGTGAAGGGGGGCGCCCTGGGCGGGATCCCTGGGGAGCCCGCCGTGGACCACCGAGATGTGGATGAGCTGCTGGAATTCATCAACAGCACGGAGCCCAAAGCCCCCAACAGCGCCAGGGCCGCCAAGCGGGCCCGGCACAAGCTGAAAAAGAAGGTGGGTGTGGGGGGGGAGCCTAGTTCTACTGCCTCTCCTCCCTGAGGAATCCCTTGCCCCAACCCCCCAGGACTTGTGGGGCATGAGTGATGCTGGCTGCCAGAAGCTTCGGCACAGCTCACTGCTCTGGGAAGGTCTGAATGCGTTTGGGAGGCATCAGGGTCAGGGAGCCTGGGGCCAGTGATTGGAGGAAAGATGAGTCCTGGCCTCAGAAGCTGCTTGCTGGATTCCTCAAAGCACAGGACTTGCTTCAGTCAGTCAGTCATTTATTCATTCAGCAAACACTTCCACAAATACTGGGAGCCAAAGCATGACGCAGTTCTCACCCTGGAGAAGCTCAGTCCAGTGGAGAGACTGACACAAAACTGGACGAGCATGTTTTTATGTGACAAGCCCGGGGATGAGGGAAGCCCCCCATCCTGCTTGGGCACGCTGGAAATGGCTTACCAAGAGACTGGCTTGAGAGCTGAGTTTCAGGGAGTGAGTTCTGTTTCATCAGGACAGTCATTTCTGGTAGCAGGCATAGAACATTCACAGCAGTTGGGGGTAGTCCAAGCTCAAATAGAAGAGAGGCAGGACAGTTAGTAGAGGTGAGAAAGGGCCTCATAGGTCCCGCTGAAGAGTTCTGACTTGGTCCTGTCGCTGAGGGGGCATCACTGCAGGGCTTTTATCAGAGGATGCGCTTGATCAGATCTGTTTGCCGCCATGACCGTGTGGCAGTGTGGAAGGTGGCCTAGAGGCATGACACTCCCAGAAGGGATACTGAGGCCCAGGGAAAGCTGATTGATGGTGGGTCTGGAGCAAGGGAAGCAGACATGACTCACTTTGGTGATCTGATTATGGAACAGAGATGAAGTCAGAGATGTCTTCCAGGTGTTTGCCTGGGTGACTGGCAGGATGGCGTGCCCTTCACTGAGCAAGGACAGGATTGGCAGAAGACAGGGAATTCAGTTGGGGCACTTTGACGCAGAAGTTCTCATGAGACCTCCAAGTGGAGCTGGAGGTGTGGGGCTGGGAGTTGTCAGCTTAGAGATGTAATTGAAGCCGTGGGAGTGACCCAGCCCATGGGCTGAGCGAGCTCCTCAGAGAGCTGAGGAGAGAATCCAATAAGCTATTCCTGGGCAGCCCTGCTCCCAGGCGAGCCCCGGGGCTTGGCAGCTCATCCCCTGCCACCTCATTACCTCTTCACCTGCCTGCCCCCAGCTGCGTCTGCACAGCGCCACACTTGGGAGCCCAGCAGCTGAAGAGTTGGGTGTGGCAACCAGCTAGCTCCAGGTCCTGGGTGGTCAAACAGCCCTAGTGCTCTGGAAAGCAGCAGCAGTTCTACATCTTTTTCCAGCCCAAAGGATAAACCAGGACCCTTTCCCTGCAGCCTGAAGTAATGAGCCAAGGGGTCCCACCACTGCCTTCAGAAAATGGTCAGCACTTACTTTCTCCCATCCAGTGTTGCCTGACCAGAAGTGTCCGGTGGGCAACAGCAGTCTCTCAGCCTTCCCTGGCTTCTTGAGGCAGTGGTTCCCAGTTAGGTCCCAGCAAGCAGGCATACTTTGAAGTTCCCGGGTCTGGTGTGCTTTCCATAAATCTGTGTGCCCACACATCCCTACCCGTTTGCTGGTAAGGCCAGTAACACTCTTCTCTCCCCTCTTTTTCCTCCTGGCAACTTCCTTCCAAGCTCCGATCTCCTCAGGTAACTTCTTCCATAGTACTGTACTCACACGTGTCCCTCACCTGCCGTTTATCACACTCCACGCACTCATTCAGAAACCTGCTGCACAGCTTCTGTCTGCCTGGTCCAGTCTAGAGGCCAGAGTGCAACACGGCACCAGGCAGTTGCGAGGTCATGTGATAGGCAGTCATGGTCATTATCCCTTATGCATCAGCCTCCTCTCCAGTGTTCTTCCTCTACCTCTCAGACTTAACCACAATCTGGCTGTCCACCAAAAACACAGCTTCTCCTGGGAGCCGTCCAGTGGAGAGTGCTCATTCTCTCACACCTCAGGAGACTGAGTATCTTTCTGCTCCCTTGTACCATTTCCAGACCGTGACTATCTCTCATGTACTAACCCCTACTCCTTTGAAACTGACCCTGGCTCTGCCATCTACAGTCTCCTGGCCACTCCTCTTCATCCACTGAAGGCTGTCACTTGCCCTTTCTCCTCTTCCCAAGCCATAGAGATCCCCTGACCATCATTCACTCGCTGTCTTACCAATACACTCATTTCCTTGCCCTGTTGCTCTTCTATTACACCCACTCAGAAAAATCACAGCCCTGGGTTTGACCCCTCCCTGCCTCTCCCCTTCCACACCTCTAGGAAAATGCTGGATCATATCTCTCTGTGGCACCCACGCTGTGTGGTCCCCTGCTTGCCTGCGCCCTCACATTGCCTAGCAGGCCTCTGGTCTACTTGTTCTTCATCACTTCTGTTCACAGACCCTTTGTCAGACCTCCAGATTCTTCTCCAATCTCCAGGCTTTACCCAACCCGCTTTTCTTTTTTGTTAGATGAACTCATTTCCTGGTTCAACAAGGAAAAAAGCCAGTGAACAGGCACTCCCTCAAACATCTTACCATTCCACCGGCAGACTTTCCTTCTTGTCATGAGAGAAGAGTTACCTCTTCTGCTTAAGGCCATGCAGTCCTTTCCCGCCACCTCAATCTAAGCTCGGCTTCCTGCCCTGGCTCCGGCCTTTCCTAGGCTGGCTCCCATCAGCATTTCACTGTGCCCGCTACTCTCTCTTTTGTGCCTTAAGCATACAGCCTCTCTCTCGCCATCACCTTATCTCTTTCCTCCCATCCCAGCCAAATTTCTTGAAAACTGCTGTCTGCATTCACTGTTTTTCCTATCAGCTCATTGCAAACTATTTTCCTCCCTTCCCGCCACAGAACCACCAGTGGTCTGTGATCTTTGTTGCTAAATCATACCCTCTTAACCCATCTTCTCTGTCCATAGGCATTTTGTATTGGTTATCCTTTTCAAACATGTTCTCTTTGGCTCACCTGTCCTTGGCCAGGTGGCGGAAGGGAAGAAAGTGGGAACGCATGTTCTCCAAATTTCTTACCTTCTCTGATCTCTCTTTTGTCTCCTTCATGGACTCCTCTTCCTTTCTTCTGACCCTCCCCACAAGGCCCTCTCCCTGGCAAAGAAAGCCATCTAGATAGTGTTTTTCCTGGTTCACTATGTCTTCATATGTCCTCCCTGTACTTGACATTGACAACTCCTGCTGCTACGAGGCACCTCCTCACAGATGTCCTGGTCCTCAGACTGAGCACATCCAAAACTGAGCTTGTTCTCTCTCTCCAAGGAGGCCTGTTCTTCCTTCTCCACTGTTGTCTAGTTGATGGCGCCACCAGCCACCGAGTTGCCCAAACCAGAACCCAGGGTGCCATCCTGGGAGGAATGCGTCGTGGTAATCGAGAGCAGCGGGCCTTGGAATTGGACCTCAGTTTGAAACCTGGCTCTGCCACACTTGCTGGATGACCTTGGGCATATCACTTCACCTCTAAGCCTCAGTTTCTTCATCCACAACATGAGAATAACAGTAGAGCCTAACTCAGATGGTTGCGGGGATGAAACAGTGATGCACAGAAAGGCTCGATGGAGAGCACGCGTGGTCAGGGAAGCGGCGGTGGCCCCAGTGGTCGTCAGTATTTGTGGCTGTTTTTTGTGGCTCATCCTATCTCCCCACCTGTCCTTGAGTCCTGGCCACACGACCTCCCAATAGGTCAAACCACCCAATTCTCCCCACCCTACCGCTGCTACTAAAAAAGCCTTCAGTGGCCAAACATTGCCCTCAGCGTCAAACACAGACTTGAACCTGACCTGCAGGGCTCTTCAGCCCCTGCTTAGCTTGCCAGATTCATCTCTCAGTCTCTCCTCCCTGGCCTTCCCACCTACCACTCCCGACCACTCCTGAAAGAAACCTGGGCACCAGTTCTCCCTGTGAATGTTGGCATTCCCTAAAGATCATATATGCCCGTTTCCCAGTCACTTGCTGTTCCTGCTGCCTAAAAAGTGCTAGTCTTCACTCTAGGATGATTCCAGTCACTCTCCAGGGCCCAGTGAGCTGCCGTCTCCTCTGGGAAGCACCTCTGATGGCCCAGTCTGAGTTCCCAGAGCATCTTGTCCTTTCTTCCTTGTAGCACTTATCGCTGTCACTCCGAATTAAACAGCCTGTTTACACGCCCATCTCCCCCAGCAGACGCAAGTCCGCAAACAGACTCCTCACGCACAGCGGAGTCCCCCAGAGCCCAGCCCAGGCCTCATCATCACTGGTCAAGAAGTGATCGTCAAACAGGACTAAAAGACCTAGGAACTGCAGATCACACCTGGGCGTGCTGTCCCAACTCTGCCACTTTCTAGCCATGTAACCTTGGGCCAGTTCCTTATTCATGCCAAAGTCAGGTGTCCTCATCTGCAAATTGAGGAAAATGGCACAACAAGGGCAGTTGTAAGGATTAAACGAGACAATGTGAGGAAAGGATCCAGCTCATGGCATGTTAACAGAAAGCATGTGTTCTGTGCTCTCCTCTCACTACCAAATCACACTTGGTTCCATGTCACTCCCTCTAACTAATTATTTTCAGACTTCTTTGTTTAGCAGCAGAACTCTTTTTTGCAATTGAAGTCCTCCATGGAACCTCCATTCCTAAGAGAAAAAGTTGTGCTGGTACAGGGGAGGAGTGATGTGAGGGGCCTTCCAGTCCTTCATCCATCCCTGTGGCCTCAGAGCTCTGCTCATGGCCTTAAACTCCATGGCACAAGGCCAGAAACACTGCTGCAGGCCCAGCTGCTTCCCCACTTGAGCACCACAGTGCCAAGTCACAGCCTCATCAGCACTCAGGGAAGGGGACACATGCCCTCTCAGGTGTCCTCCGGGCAACACTGAGCTATAGGTAGGCAGTTTTTCTTCCAAATACACCAAGGGGAAAGGTAAGGTTCAGAGAGAGTAAGTGATTTGTCCAAGGTCCCACAATGGTGGTACTGGTCTGTCGCAGAGCCCTACCGGGACACAGGGTCACCCTCTTTTAAGTTGACTCTGAGATGATGGCATGCCCTCTTTTCTCTCCCCAGTTTCCTTTTCCTGTTCCTCCCCCTCCATTCCCAAATCAGCTAGAAATATGTGAAATAGTGGAAGTCCTCCAACCCCTGGCCCAACACCACCACCTCCTTCCTATAGGCATTTGACATCTGTCTCTCATCTCCCTCTAAAGGCCTCCTTGGTCTGCTGGTGTGTGGAGGTTGGGTAGAGGAATGGAGTGACTCAGAGTCCACAGACTTCACTGTCATTCTCCAGAACCGGGTCTGTTCACACTGACTGAGAGAGCCCAGCCTCCCAGTTCTCACCTGGGCAGAGGGGCTGCTTTTACTTGTGGGGCCCCATGTAGCTGTGCATTGTAGGCCATCAGGCACACTTTAGGACTGGCCGTGATTACTTGAGGCAGCTGAGTGGTAAGTGGCTTTTATACAGAATTTCTCCCTCTTCCATAGCACCCATACACACATTCCTGCCACCCAGAGTGTCTGACCTCCCATGGTAGTCTCACCACCCCATCTTACTTCTTGAAAGTCCTCTCCTAATGCCAGCTTTTTTTGCCCCAATACCAGCAGAACTGGAGAATGACTGTAGCAGCCATCTCCCTCTCTTGCATCCCCACTTTGGTCTTCACCCCAGAATTTTTTCCCACTTTTTGCAGATGAGTCCACTGAGACTCAGGAAATGAATGAGCTGCTTAAGGTCAGACCTGGCAGGCCGGGTGCAATTAGCTGCATTCTTATCCCTTTGAGTCCTAGTGGTTTTAGGCCCTAGGACGGACACTGGGACTCTGATGAACAAGCTATAAAAACCTATCCTCTAGGTCTGTCTCCATCCCCAGAACATGCACAGGTCTCATTGCATTTCGTCCTCACTCCTGCAGAGGAGTGGGTGGCCAAGGCCCTGCGTCTAGCCAGTTCGCCGCAAAGCTGGGCCCCAGGCTGATGTGTCAGGTGTCACACTGTGCCTAGCAGCTGCCAGGCCCTAGCTGAAACTGCTTCTTATATTGGCAGGAAAAGGAAAAGGCCCACTTGGCAGCAGAAGCTCTAAAGCAGGTGAATCGTAGTGTTTCTGGAAGCCAGGAGCCAAGGCCTGCCAGGGAGAGGCTCTTGGAGTGGCCCGACCGGGAGCTGGATCGGGTCAACAGCTTCCTGAGCAGCCGTCTACAAGAGATCAAGAACACTGTCAAGGACTCTATCCGTGCCAGCTTCAGTGTGTGTGAGCTCAATATGGACAGCAATGGATTCTCTAAGGAGGGGGCTGCTGAGCCAGAGCCCCAGAGCCTATCCCCCTCAAACCTCAATGGCTCCTCAGAGCAACGGCCTGATATTAACCTTGACCTATCCCCTTTGACTTTGGGGTCATCTCAGAACCACACGTTACGAGTTCCAGGTGAGCCGGCCCCACCATGGACAGAAATGAGAGGCTCTCACCCACCATGGACAGAGGTGAGGGGGCCCCCTCCCGGTATCATCCCTGAGAATGGGCTAGTGAGGAGACTCAACGCTGTGCCCAACCTTTCCCGGGTGATCTGGGTCAAGACACCCAAGCCAGGCAACCCTAGCCCTGAGGAGCCAAGCCCAAAGGAGGTTCCCAGTTACAAGCAGGAGCTGCCCGAGCCTGTGGCCTCAAGTGGGAAGCCTCGGAAGGGCAAGAGACAGGGCAGTCAGGCCAAGAAGAATGAGGCAAGCCCAGCCCCCCGGTCCCCAGCCAGCCTAGAGGCTCCCAGTGCCAAGGGCCAGACCCCCAGCTCCAAGCAGCCAGGCAAGGCCCCGGAGCTTCCCAAAGTGGGCAGCTGTGCCGAGGCTGGAGAGGGGAGCCGGGGAAGCCAACTGGGACCAGGCTGGGCTGGTAGCCCCAAAGCCGACGAGAAGGGCAGCTCCTGGCGGAACTGGCCAGGTGAGGCCAAAACACGGCCTCTGGAGCAGGAGTCTGTGCAGCCCCCAGGCCCAGCAAGGCCACAGAGCTTGCCACAGGGCAAGGGCCGCAGCCGCCGGAGCCGCAACAAACAGGAGAAGACGGCCGCCTCCTTGGGTGAGTGCACCAGGAACTGAGTGGTTGACCCCCCCCACCCAGCCAGGCCACAGGGTGGAGGGTAGTCCTCGCGTGTGGGCAGTGCTGCCCCGAGAGCATGACCCCAGAGGCCTGGCCGTGGGCACTGAGCCCTCCTGGCTGTGTCTTCCTAGACGATGTGTTCCTGCCCAAGGACATGGATGGGGTGGAGATGGATGAGACTGACCGGGAGGTGGAGTACTTCAAGAGGTAGGTGTGGGGATGCCTTCTCACCCACCCTTACCCTGACACCCTCAGAGAGAGAGCCTCGCCAGGCTCACTCCCACCAGTCTTTCTGCTGGAACCCAGGTGGCCACGCGGCAGGAAAAGGCATCTGGGAAGGTGTAAGGGACAGGGAGGAGGAGACACTTCAGGCCCCAAGAACCAGGACTTTCTCCAGTTTTATTCACTTTGTATATTCATTTGCACTTTCTCTCCTCTGCCTGGGCTGAGTTCTGGGCTGGAGGCAAATCAGATGCAGTCTAGATGGAGAGAGAGAGCCTAAACACACAGTCCAGCTGTAAGTGCTGTTGGAGGAGTGAGGACGTGGGGTTGCAGACCAAGCTGAGATGCAGGGGTGGGCAGTGCTCCCAGAAGAGATGGGAACCAGGCTGAGACCGGAGAAGTAAGAATGAGTGGGCCAGGTCAAGCAGGGCCTTTGTGACAGCAGAGCTAGTAGGTACAGAGGTTTGAGGCTGAAAGCAACACCCAGGACCGAGGGGAGCAGGAGGCCGCCCAGTGTAGCCAGAGTAAAATACCGCGTGAGGGGCTAACCTGTATCCCGAGGCAGCGTCACTGTCTTCATGCACTGTTCGTGGGCTCGTGGGCGCCTGTCCAGAAGGTCAGCAAAGCTCTCGTAACCTGCTAGGCCGCAATACCCTGGAGCCAGAGGGGTTGTACAGAGCTGACTTGGTTCCTTTAGTGACCAAGACACATGGGACTAGAAATGGGGTCCAGCAAGGAGAGGGGGATCCTCTGATTGTGCTTTCCTGGTGTCTGTCAAACCTAACAGGTTCTGTTTAGATTCTGCAAAGCAAACTCGTCAGAAAGTTGCTGTGAACTGGACCAACTTCAGCCTCAAGAAAACCACTCCCAGCACAGCTCAGTGAGGTATGGAGGACCCCCAAGTGTTGCATATACTTCTCTCTGCAAGTTCTGTCACTTTGTGTCCCCACACTATGTCATGCTCAGGAGCACACGGAGTTGGGCTCGTGGCTTGCCAGTCCTGGCCCCTGCAGTGACACAGTGACGCCTATGTGCTCTGAAGACACAGGCCCCATCTCTTCTTCTGTGGTCCCTCACACCTAGGCCTCTGTCCTTTCATAGCTCCCTCCTGGGCCAGACCCTCCTTAGAGCCCTCCTGCCTGTGTTCCTGAAGGGCCCTTCCTGCACTGCCATCCCTGGGCTATCGCTACCAGGCCTCCACTTCCCTCACCATCTGCCTCTGAAGAGCCGAGGCAGCCTTAATCCCCAGATGACTGCCCCCGCTCCTGACAGTGTTAGCCTCAGGGTTCAATCTCACTTGCCCAGCCTGGTAGGCTGCCATTTAGGGTGCTTTCCAGCTAAAGCCATGCAGGAAGGGGCTAGCCCCAGAGGACCAGGGAGAGGGCGGATGAGATAGACCAAGGCCTCAGTGAGGTCATTTAGGCATGGAGGAGTTGGTAAGCGCTCTCCCCAACCAGGGCAAGCCCCATGAAGAAATTAATAGCTAAGCTGCCTCCTGAAGAAGAGACCTAGCCCCAGCTGGGCTCGGGGCTCCTCTCCCAACCACCTACATAGGTCCTTTTGTGTGAAATGCTGACATATCAGATGACACTGTGGACTGAGAACAGAAGACTAAGAAGCCACTGGACTGAGCACCATAGTGCAGGAGAGAAGAGTGACTGGCCCACAGGCCTTGGTGCCCAGTTTGCGGCCTAATGGCTGTGCAGTGCCCTATCTTAACCCTGTGCTCTGTCCCTGGGATCAGGCCTTTTCTGCCTGGTCACACAACTGCCTTTAAAGCACAGGAAACTGGGGCAGGTGAGCTGAACTCAGGGAACCCCAGGAGGATGTCCTCACCTGTCCCCTCCTCCTCCTCTTGTCAGTGCCAGGGCATCAGACTTCCTGGACGCTCAGCCGAGTCTCTTGTCCTCCTCTGGGTCAGGATTCCCCACCCTTGAGGCTGGGCTCCCTATGGCACCTCGGGCTGCCTGGAGACAGGACTGTCTTTAGACTCACCTCAACCCCTCTCTCCGAAGGGGCTGGACTCCCTGGTCTTTTGCCAAACTGAAATGACCACACTCTCAGGAGCTTCTGCTAGGGCGCCCTCCTGCCCCTTTTGTCCACTTCCACAGGATCCAGGAGTTCTGGGGACCCCAGGCACTTTCATTTGTTGCCTCTTCTCAGAGAAAAAGGGGCACTCCTCCTCCCACAGCCCAGTGCCCCTGTCAGCCAACAAACCTCATTCAGCCATCTTCTTTCAGGGACTCCCTCTTTGGTTGATCTCTTTCCCAAGACGGGGGATGTTCCCTCCCTGCCCCACCCCACCATAAGGGCTCTCCATTGACCTTTTCCACCCTCCTCAGAGTGGGATCGGGAGCCCGGAGAGTGTGTGAAAAAGCAGTGCCAGCACGGATTCGGGACCTAGCCTGGGCTGTGTCCCCGGAGCGTGAGGCAGGAGTCAGAGTGCATGTGCCGCCTCTCCTCCGCCCGTCAGCAGGAGAGCAAAGGCCAGAGTCGGGGCTCTTACCCCACCCTGGATGGGATAGACGTGCTACTGGGGAGCTGTCCCCTGGTAGGGTCTCAACCTGCATCCTCTGCTGCAGGTAATCAAGGAAGTCTATTCAATATTTTCAGCCCAGGGAGCAAAAAATAGCAGGCAGCTCCTCCTACGCAGGGGACCTATGGAAATCCAGAGCCAGCACAGGGAGGCTAGGACACAGGCTCACTCACGGTGTGGTCATGCTCTGTTTTCTCAGCCCCCTGCCGGGTCGAGCTGCTTCAGGGTGTCCTGAGACCCCCCAACTGCCAGCTGAAGGTCTACAGTTTCTTCCTCCACATCCTTACCCACCTGCCCAAGATCCTCCCTGCTCCTCACCGTCCTGGACCAACCAAAAGTTGAATGGATGCTGTGCCGTGCTGGGGCCCCTCAAGACCTCCGCAGAGCCGCTTCCTGGTGCTACGCAGCCCCCTCACTCAGAGCCTGGGGGCTGGACTGGCCTGTGGGCCGGGGGCTGATGGTACTGCTGGCCCAACACTGCTCTCTTTGTGTTTGGTTTTGTTTTTGTTCTTGTTTTTCAATTCTTTACTTTTGATACTGTGAAGATCTTTCCTGCCGAAAGATAAAGCAACATTTGGACACAGTCAGTGTGTTGTGGTTTGCTGGTCTGGGGCAGGGGTGAGGTGAGGAATGTACTCAAGCATGGGGTCTGCCTTGGTCATTAGCCTCACTGAGCACGTACTATGTGGTAGCAGTTTGGCAGTTTGCACTTAATTCTCACAACAGTTCTAAGTGGGACTGTTACCCCATTTTACAGATGAGGAAACTAAAGCCAAGACAGGAAAGTGACTTTAGTGCACTGTCTGGCTGAGAAGTTAGAGCTGAGGCCTGTGTAACAGCAGCATCTGTGCACTTTCTCCTGGTGGGAGGACCCTGCTGTGTGACCTGGAACAGCCCCTTCCCCATGCCCTGTTTCCCTCTGTGAGATGGTGGGGTGAGACTCTGTGTCTGGGCAGCTGCTGTGAGAGGTGGTCTGGGAAAGGCCTCAAAGCCTTTTCTGTAGCCTGGGTTATTGACATGGTCAAGGGAAGTGGAGTAAATGGAGTTTCTGTAAATTAGATCAGACTTTCCAGTGGGAATGACACATACAGCCCAAGTACCTGAGAGTTGAGGATAATGAACCCTTCTGTAAAGTAAAGCAAACTACCTCATTCCTACCTTCCACCTCCTGTAGATCTGGTTTGAAAATTCAGATTTTAATATAATAGGTTTGCTTAAAAAAAAAAAAAAAACTGCGTCACACACACCTGTGTCCTACCTCCTTGTCCCTATTGTCATTTCCTCAAGCTGACACTTAAGCTTGTGTGGGGGAGCAGTGGAGGCTGTGGCCACATAGTCACTAAGAGCGCTTTATAGAGAGTTGGGAAGCAGGATTGGAAACTGTTCCCTCTCCCTTCCCCTCCTCCCAGGTTCATCCCCACCATGGGCAGTCAGTGCCAGCTTTCTCTTCTAAAGAAGTTAAATCACCCACAGGCTCCCAGTTCCTGGTCTGTGGCCCTTCCTAATCTCCAGGGAAGTCTGCATATGCCCTGGTGAAACCTGCCTCTGCATACGTATTATCTGTGTTCCTCTCTCCCTTCAACTCCTGCACCGGGCTCCTGCCCTGCAGCTGAACTGGCATAGCCACCTAAAATTCTGCTTCATCATTCAAAAATTGCCTGATCAAGGAACTGCTTTACCTACAGAGAAATACCTGTGGATGGTGCTCAGAGCCTTCCGTGCCTGGTCCTTGCCTCCCCGCACTTCACTCCAGTCCCACCAGACTACTTCAGTCTCCCTCCAGGCCTGGCACCCACAGGCCTCCCAACTTTACTCACATTTCCTTCTTCCCAAATTACCTTCCCTTCATCATGTCCTGCTTATCCTTCACATTCCAGCTGAAAGGCCACTTTTACTAGGAGAATCCTCTTGCCCTGTCTTGCAGTGCTTCAAAAAGTACTACTTTATCTGCCTTAGAATATTTCTCCTTTACCTCAAGACCTGTTTTATTTTTGTCTCCTCGACCAATCCATAAACTCACAAGCCAGGTTTGTGTCTTGTTCATCTTTTATCTGCTTCAGCGCTGTGCACAATGCCCAGTATGTGCTGATAATAAATACATGAATGAAGAAAAAAGTAGTACTGACACATCACTCCTCTTTAAGAGTCCCCAGTGAGGGGCACCTGGGTGGCTCAGCCCTCCCACTCTTGATTTCTGCTCAGTTCCTGATCTCAGCGTCGTGGGATCTAGTCCCAGGTCAGACTCTTGCTCAGCATGGAGTTTACTTGAGATTCTCCCCCGCCTCTCCCTCTGTCCCTCACCGCCGCACGCTGTCAAAATAAAATGTTTAAATATAAATGAAGTACCCCTTGAAGTTGAAGTTACTTCGACCGTCAGGGCCCTGCATACTCTGGGCCCACCCAGCCTCCCTATCCAGCTTTAGCGCGGGCCACCCCACCCCACGGCAGCCGGCCACGTGCTTTGTTCTTTGAGGAATCTGTACTGGCATATGGCCAAGCCTTCACTCCTACAGAATCCTCAATCAGAAAGCTCTTTCCTCCACTCCCTTGTTCTGAGTCCACACCTCTGGAAGCTCAGATGCAGGTCTCTTCGAAGACTTCTCTGGTTCCGCAGGCAGTGAGTTACTCCAAGCTCTATTACAGCATTTACTATAAAAATCGCTCCTTAGGTATGTACAGACCCTCAGCGAAACACTTGTCACCAGCATTTTATTTATCCTTCATCACTCTGAACATACGTGTTGTCTCACATAGACTAGGACGCCAGTCAGAGCTGCAGCATAAGTTGATTCATTTTTCCGTAAGCCACACCCGGTCCCCGTGCCTGGGATGGAGGCCCCTGCGGGGTCCCAGTTGGCTCCGTCCCGGATCGTGCCGGATGACGTCAGACTCTGGGCGAGGTTTCGCAGCCGGCCAGCTGACGGCTGATCTCCGGGATCAGCCGTTTCCACTCGGGACCTTCCGCCAGACTTCGTGTTGTGGGCCTTTAGCGCATGCTCCAAGTCTTCCAGCGTCCCATAATGCCTTGTCTGACGCTTTGCCCTGGCCCTTGGCAACAAATGCGCAGCCGCCCAAGGGACTTTGACGCCAGCGCGGCCTGACAGGTTCTCCGAAGAAAGTTTGTCCCTCTGCGCGACCCGGCACTCAGAGGTCGTTGCTAGGCGCCCAAGTTCCGCTTCACATCTGATTGGATTTCACTGAAAAGTTGAGGCGGGGTTTTACCGTGGCGCGCAAGCGTGCAGCAAAGGATGGAGGACTCGGAACCCGAGCGGAAGGTAGGAGCGAGGCAGGGGTTCTCGCGGGTGGAGAGCGGCAGTGAAAGCGGGGGACTGAGCCTGACTCCTGTGTATCTGTAGCGGGCGCGCACCGACGAGGCAACTGCCACAGGAAGCCGCTCCGAGACGGAGGATGAGGACGACGAAGACTATGTGCCTTACGTGCCTTTGCGACAGCGCCGGCAACTGCTGGTGAGGGCCCGGGTTCGGAAAAGGAATGAGGGCGTGGGAGCCGGGGACGAGGGGCGGTGGGGGGAGGTGGCCTCCAGTGGAGCGAGCTGTCAGTACTCGGGACCGTGGCCCTCCGGCGAACGAGGAGCGGGCGACCTGATCTGAGGGGCAGCGCAGCTCCACGTCGCAGGGTACAGGTTCCTCTCCCAAAAGCCAAGATCCTGACGCAGGCCCACTGGGCCCAATGCGCCTCTCTGTTTTGGGCTTGGTTCTGCGGGGCGCTGGTGGAACCTCAGCTCCAGAAGCTACTGCAACGAAGGCGCAAAGGAGCTGCGGAGGAGGAGCAGCAGGACAGCGGCAGCGAGCCCCGGGGAGATGAGGACGATATCCCGCTGGGCCCTCAGTCCAACGTCAGCCTCCTGGATCAGCACCAGCACCTCAAAGAGAAGGCTGAAGGTGGGCTGTAGAGCAGCGGGGAGGTTCAGCTTAGTGCAGTGCTTGGTGTCTGATATCTGCTTCTTTCCTCAGCCCGCAAGGAGTCTGCCAAGGAGAAGCAGCTGAAAGAAGAGGAAAAGATCCTGGAGAGTGTGGCTGAGGGCCGAGGTGTGGCTGTAGTCAGGGCAGGGTGGGTGGTGGACTGACAACCCCAGACATGTTATATCTCAAGGGCCTGGTCTCTGGGAAGAAAGAGCCAGCCCTGAGCCACGTCTGTCTCCTCAGCCTTGATGTCAGTGAAGGAGATGGCCAAGGGAATCACATACGACGATCCAATCAAAACCAGGTACGTTTTTCAGTCTGGGGAAGACAGTCACTCACTTTTACTTGGAATGGTATGTGGCTGGGACTGGCAGGTGTACCCCAGAGCCAGCTGTGCCTGGGGCCTCTCTTGACCCCCACCACCCACTCACAGTTGGACACCCCCCCGCTATGTCCTGAGCATGTCTGAAGAGCGGCATGAACGGGTTCGGAAGAAGTACCACATCCTGGTGGAAGGAGATGGTATCCCACCACCCATCAAGAGCTTCAAGGAAATGAAATTTCCTGCAGGTACCTGGGAACTTTGGTAGTCAGACAATTGTAAGGTTGTGTTCCAGCCCCCACTGTGCTCAGCATCTGCAGAGATGGGTCTAGCCAGTGGAGATGGAAGGACTTGGGGTTGAACTTCAGTTGCTCCAGTTGTCGTGGAGGTCTTGGACAAGTCTTTCTTTTTCTCTTTCTTTCTCTGGGCCTCATTTGTAACTTGAAGGGGATAGTGCCGGGTTTACAGCTTTGGGGGCCTATAAAGTATCTGTGAGACACAGGGATGATGCTGAGGTTGTTTTCCGTAGCCATCCTGAGAGGCCTGAAGAAGAAGGGAATCCACCACCCAACACCCATTCAGATCCAGGGCATCCCCACCATGTGAGTGTGGACCTGGGAGCCCTGTAGGGGCGGTGATGGGGAGGAGCAGTCACTCAGTGTCCATCCGGAGACTCATTCCCTACATTCTACTGAACCTGATCCTCGGGTCTCTCCTCTCCCAACAGACTATCTGGCCGTGACATGATAGGTATCGCCTTCACGGGTTCAGGCAAGACACTGGTGTTCACATTGCCTGTCATCATGTTCTGCCTGGAACAAGAAAAGAGATTACCTTTCTCCAAGCGCGAAGGGCCCTATGGACTCATCATCTGCCCCTCGGTAAGACAGACCAGGCTAGAGGGCAGGGCAGAGACAGGACTGCCTTCTGGTGCCAACCTCTGCCCTGTGCCTACAGCGGGAACTCGCCCGGCAGACCCATGGCATCCTGGAGTATTACTGCCGCCTACTGCAGGAGGACAGTTCCCCGCTCCTGCGCTGCGCTCTCTGCATCGGGGGCATGTCTGTTAAAGAGCAGATGGAAACCATCCGACAGTGAGCACAGGCACCCCCACCCTGTGGGCCTCCCCAGAGCCACTCAGCAAGCTAAAGGGCCCTTTGCTTTAGCTACCCCTGCAGACCCTTACAGAAGCCTCCTTGTCCTCAAGGAGTTCCTCATCTAATGGGGAGATCAGTTGGGGTGGGACAGAGGGATGTGGTAAGGTAAGGTACTGTGGGAGCACAGCAGATGGAATGGGGGCATCTGGCGGTCAGGGAGTCAGGGCATTCTGGGCAGAAGACAC